TATAAATATAAACCTGAAAAATACTTTAAAATCAGCTACTAAAGTAATTTACGTGTGGATATTGAGTACAACAATTGAAGGACTTCTTAGTGTGAGTAAAACAAAAAAACAAAATCCGTTGAGAGTGCAGTTTGTTAGATTTCTATTCCTAATAAACATAAGGTCAAAGTAAAACAATGTATATCTGAAAGAGTCCAGATAAACAATCATCCACCCATCCATTATATTTTACCCACTTCTTCCATTTTGGGTCACGGGGGTCGCTGGTGCCCATATTCAGGATTCGAGGGGCAGGGGGACACCCTGGACAGGTCGCAAGTCCATCACAGGGCCAGATAAACAAACACTTGAACTCAATAATTTGAGCTTGCCATACAATTGTAATCACACTCATGTGTCTTGAAAATAGTAAACTTTGGAAAATATGACTTGAACCCATCTACAGTCCTGCTTTTTAAAACAATATATTTAACATATCTGCAGTGTTGCCTAATCATAATAACGGTTTTAGAAATCTTGGTAAACACAAAATAAAGAGTTTGAACAGCTGACCACAAAGGAACAGCATCCTCCACAAAAGAGGAGACAAACTTGGCATTACTGACATCACTGCATCTCAGGCTACTGGTTTAATTTAATGACAAGCAGACATACCTGCAGGCTGTTTCCTCTCTGCCTCTCCCTCACCATGTTCATCTCCCACTGAGAGTCACCGACATGGTTCCACAACGCTGACAGAAGAAGGCGGCACTCACAGCGGGCTACAAAAAAGGCACAAGACAAACGCAGGAGGTGATCCAGAGTTGCAGGGTTGACTTTAGGCGACTGGAGACACAGCTGTTCAGGCCGAACTGGGCTGGGCTGGTATCCCAACAACCCAAAAAGCCTCTCGATTTGAGGCATGGACAGAACCGGTGTGATGTAGTGGGTGAATGTTCCAGAGTACATCTTGAATAGAAAAGAAGATACATGTCAAATTCTGCACAAATACTTTTAACTAAGGTTTGATCATCTCAGCTTTTAGGGCCAACCTTGATGACTCTGTATTCCTTTCTCCAGGGACCCAGGTACAGGTTCAGTGCTGCTTGCTCCAGGACTTCAAAAGCTTTAGCCAGACCTCGAAGTCCCCCTCTAGCTCTGACTCTCTTGTAGTAGGGTCCAGGTGGAGCTGATGCTGCAGCTGCCTTCAGTGACTCCTCCATCTCCCTGAGGGTATCTAGACCGAGACAGTGCACCTCTTGGGCATCCGTGTCCTTCAGCCGATCTTCCACCAGCTTCCACAGAGTTTCATCTCTGCACGCCAAGCTGCAGCCTCGTCCCACAATCTGCTGCTCCAAAATGTGATCATACACGCCCACAAACTCCCTGGCTCTCTGTTGCAAGCTCATCTCTTTCATTCAAACAGCAAGAGACACAGAACAGAATAAAGGATACTAAAGTGAAAGATCAAACTTGAAAAGATGCATTACTATTTTTAAATCCAATCTATTTTTCCTGATGAATACAGAAGCTGACACTAGAGAAGACCAAGGTGATATTTTTAAACTGATGTGCGTAAAACAGAATTTAGAAAAGGTCCCCATTGTTCATTTTCCTTCAACAATAAAGAACAATAAATGTGAGGCTGTTGTTTTATGTAATTTAACCTTATACATATCCACAACATAAGATTTAACAAAAACAAACCTGCTAGTCTTCATATTTCAGTACAATTCTCACATATTTAGTCACAAAATACTTTGTTTTGATCAAATTTTTGAGTATAGACATTCTGAAGGATAAAATCCAATTGATGTTCTGATAAGAACTCTTTCAAAGACAAACTTTATTGTAAGTAATCTTAAATTAAATCATTTAGATGTTTATTTCTTACTGTCTTATTGCAACATTTTTGCCAACATGTGTAATTTTCTTTAAATTACCATAGCACGTTCTGTTAAGCCTCAATAAAATTATTATTTTTAAAGAATTAACATGGTGTTTTGCTGTGTTTTTATAAATGTGTTATAAGACTGAATATTACCTTAAAAGTGATTAAAATATAGATATAATAAACTAGATTAGCAAAACGTATAACTTGAGCACTATGAAAGGAAAGAGTGTAAAACCAAAACGCACTTTCGTTTTGATCAAAAAATTAAAAATAAATTAAGAAACTTTTAAACTCAATTAACTAGATTTTAAAAATAAAATGAAACATTCTGGGAGTTGGATGCTAGCATTAGCTTAGCCACAATTAAACGATAAAGTTCTTATAAATCTCAAAATATTACATCTGTTGCATTTTTGCCTTGAACGAACCTGTTAGTTCTGCGAAAGCAGTTTCTAAAATTGCAGAACTTATCTTTTTAATTTGAGTGATAAAAAGCAAAACAAAACGTAAAGTCAAATTTTTAAAAATTGTCCAGGTCGACTTTGGCCGTTGACAGAACACCTTCAACCACAGCTCCGTAAATTAACAGGAAGTAAACACAATATCATGGGGGGAACCTTAAAAAATGAAATAAATAAAAAATTAATATGTTTAGGACACAAGCCGAATTTAAGTTTTCCTGTCACGTAATTACTAAACGTCAATGTTGGGGATTTACACGGCACAATATTTAAACAATTCGAGAGAGAAAACACAATTTTTGGAATCCCGAATGAAATTTCGGCCAAGAGGGGAAAAAGCTAACGTGAAGTCACAAAAAACTGGACGTAAAGTATTTAAATGCTGGTTCAAATAAACATTTTTAGCGACAAACTAAGTATCCTTACCTGCGTTTGGCACTTATTTAAAAGTTTAAAGGCGAATAATAATAAACTACATTTCTTGCGACAACACAAACATCTGAACACAAATATCGCTGAACGTAGCTTCTTAGCATGCGCAAACTAACATTGTCACGTGACCCGGGATTTCCCAGATTCTGACGAGTCTGCGCAGTGTGCAGATTTGTCGATACGAACTTTGTCCACTAGATGGGAGCATTTCATCTTCGGCGACCTCCGCATGAACCTATTGAACCGCCTCTACCGCCAGATAATTCAGGGCTCAGCATTCATGTATTCATAAACAGTTTTTCTGTGCTCAGACCTGAATTATATTTGTTTTTCTGCAACGTGTATTTATTTTTAAAAACTAACACATTATTTTATTTTTTAATTTATTACTTGTTTCACCGCACAAGGCAAAATTATCTTAAATTATCTTTAAGCATCATTTTGTTGATGAATCTACGTTATTATTATTATTTTTTACATATATTCAGTGCATTGTTTAAAATGATATTTTATTAAAGATTTTTCAGCTTTTAATGCCATTTTGGGAATTTACACAGCGGTTGGCAAAATCGTTTCTCCATGGAATGCCTGAAAACAAAGTAATTTAATGATCAGTGATATACTGTATATTTCTATTTTTGTGTACTATTTTGATATATAAACACCTGGTAAGTGAAATATTTTTTGAATAATAATATGACCCAAATTCCATAAAAAATGTGTGTGGCAATTAGTCACATTTACTAAATTTTTTTTTCATAGAAAACAAAGTAAACTTTGTTGCCATTTGAGTAGCCAGAGTGAGAGGATTAAGATAACTTTGACATAAATTACTGCTAAAGAATTCGAATTTATTCTCATCCCATGATGACAAGTTCCTAAATCCATTCTTTGACATAGCTAAATACCTAACTCCACCATTAGACATGTGCCAGAAAGTATTAATCATTAAGTCCATAATCTGTACATCTTAATCTAAAACTGGGACATTAAAAGAAAAGATTATGCATTGATTTCAAGGATGACAGCTGGAACAGTGTTTGGGCCCACGGGCGTGGCTTTAGAGGGGTGGAGCTGTGACCTTAGAATTGCTCTAAAGCTCCCTGGTTCTGCCAAGATGCTCTGTACAAGTGAGCCACTTCGCTTCCAGCCTACTCAGAGTGTCTTTCTCCATCTATCCTGTTCAGCTGTGCAGCTGCAGCGATCATGTCTTACTCGGACAGGGTTGTGTTAGCTCTTGGAGGAGCTGGAACGGTGGGCTCTGGGGTCGTTAAGGCTCTGCTGGATAAAGGTGAGCTGATCTGGCACCATGTTGAAGAAACAAAAAGA